CAGGARAACCAACCTAAACCAAAAATTTAGATTTGGAAATCTTACATTRGAAATCTTAGCCTTTGTTGCCATGGCTAGTTCTAGTGAGTTATTTGGGAGTAAGGGAAAAAATAAGGTATACATCTTCATAGCAATTTACAAATTGTTAAATGTTCAAAACTTCCAGTAACAGCATGAAACACTTATCTCTCCTTAGAGCCTAAGGAATTTGTAAGCATGCCTCATTTGCTTAATGGTATCAAGAACTTTAGTTTTTTTGTATTTTTTTTCCCCCAGAGAAGATTTATAAAGCAGTAGGGTAGATGGTGCTGTTCTCCAGCTGTCTRTCTTGAGGAGTTTCCTCACTGGGCTAAACACAACATAACTTCTCTGTAATGTTACTGTGGAATCTTGGAAAAACATAATGTTCCTCCTGTTATGTGCAATAGATTCTTCTTTAATTGCAGCAGCTAAAAAAAGCTTCTGTCTTTATGGCTGTGGAACTAAAGCGACAAAGTTTATGGTCTTTCACTGTCAGCAGGTTTATGGAAAATTTATAGTATGTGTTCTAAGGTCTGCGTTTACCATTTTTTGCTTCAATACTTACTTAAACTAGTGCTGAAAAATGCCTGTTATAGAATGGAGTTTTTCTGTCAAAAGTTTCCTAGAATTTTTTTAGTCTTTGTATATATTTATATATTTAATTTACACATAATATGAATGTATATACTTTGAGTATATACTGTCCAGTTATTTAGATAGGTTTTAATAATATTTTCTATATTTTTTAATTATCTATTTTGTTTTTTCTGTTTCTAAGATAACTTAACTGGTTCCACAATATTTGCCATCAGTTAAAAAAGGCTATTTTTGGGTTTTTTTAAATTATGTTCTAGTTTTGAAGCRTTGGACTATGATCCAGTTGAGTCAAACTGCAGCATGCATAGTCTGCTAACTACTGCTAACTACTGATCACAGTAGTTGTTTGTCAACAATTAAAAAAAAAAAAATTAGACACAAACTGTTCATCAGTTAAACAAAATAGGCAGAATTCGTCTTTAGAAACACACCTAAATATTTTTCAGCGTAAATTATGCTAGTTTAACCACAGAGAAATAGAAATGTGATTTACTTTTAGCGTTGCTACATTTGGTATTTTATTAGCATAATTTAGAATAGATTCCCCACTCTGGAAAATCTGAGTTAAGCACTGGAACTCTGGCCTATCTAGAAAAGGAAAACAGAAAGGTTAACATTTTAAAAAGGGGAACACAGGATTTAATCAGTCACTTTCATTTATCTAATCTATAATTTCTCATTTCCATGAGAAGCATAGTGGCTGAGTTCTCACTGTTTCATCCCAACTAACTCTCACTAAAAATCCCAGTGTATGAAGATACAATTTCTGCTTTGACCTTCCTTGCTAGTATGTCTGTAGTGCTCCTCAGTCACAGTGGACCAATCCCTCCAACTTCTTCAGTATTAATAAAATGCTGTTTTCTTTCCTTCCTGTGCATACATAAATCTGGATGGATCAAAGCCAAATTTTATTTGTATATTCCCAAACTTCAGAAATACAGAAAAACACCCAATCTATGCTTGATTCTACAAAATATTCAGATTTTATAGAACCAGTTTCTCTGTTTTTATGTATCTGTGACAGACAACTTTCTCCTGTAATGTATGCTCAGCAATTCCAAAACAATATTAGACCTTCATTAAGGTGAGAGAAATATATAGGGCAGCTTAGCTGCAGCTGAATACACAATAGTTGAGGAATTACTAGATCTGAGAAGGTAGATTTCCCAGTTTTGAACATATCTTGCACTGGAAAGGAAGGTGCTGCAGCCAATTCATGTTTTTTATTTACTCTCTCTTGTTACTGCATGTGATTTAAAACAAAAAGCCCAGAGTKAATAAGGCAAGCCCTTCTGTATGAGGTCTGCATAGTTTTAAAGGSATACATGATGTGGAGTTTAGAAAGCCCAAATCTCTGCATAAACCTTTAGCTAAACAGCACTAMATATAATTGCTATATTCAGTGCCCATTCATATATTGTATTTTCATAGTCTAGAGCATGTAAAATCTGACATGTGATAGATCATGTTAAACTCAGTGATAAACTAAGTCTCACCTTTAAGCACAAATACCACGTTTTAGAAACCTAGATGTCTTTTTGATAGGTGAGCCCACAGGTGGATACCCCTAATGCCATCTCTGAAGCAGGGTAAAGTAGCAGTGTTAGCTCAGAGCAAGCAGCRCAGTCTTTACCATGTGGGACTAGAAATAGAACAACCTTCTGGTAACTTGTTGCATTTCATAGTTTCTTTATATCTWAAAATCCCATATATAGTAAGCAGAATCAGAACCTGATTTTTTTTTTCTTTCAGTATACCAAAAGCAAAAATTCAGCTTCTTCATGGGATTTGTCTTGACACGCCCCCTGCCTCACCCTTGCCCTTTCTTGCTCTTTTGCTTTTCTTCCACAGGAAAAGTAAGTCGGACATTACAGGATGCTTTCACAGAGGTTCTCAGCCGGTCCCCAAGATCTTGTTTGTGGCATTCACATTTTTTTCTCTCAAGATGTGTACCAGGTTGTGTGCTGCATGGATACTGCAGCTGTCTATTGCTGAGCCTTTTCACTGGGATGACTGKTGCTTGTGGAGAGCTGCTCACAGGTCCCTAGTTCAAATGGTACAGAGCAGGAGTGATGGTGGTTCAAGTTAACCCTAYAGTGTGTTTAATAGCTGACACCCTGGAAACACAATCTCCCAAAAATTACTAAAGAGGTTTTTAAAAAGTGAGTGTAAGGATTACAGGGCACACTCAAAAGTCAGCTCTTTGTTTGCTTATTTCTGTTTTCCATCTTTTGCATAACTATTGCACTGAAGTATTTTATTTCACGTCAATATAGCAGTTTTAACATGGCATACACGTTGGATAAATGCTTTAGGTAAAAATTAAAAGTCCATTTTGTAGCACACTATAGAAACAGATACTTTKTATGGCAGGCAGATTCACATTAATCCTCAGATTACGCAATTTAATAAGAGATGGTGCTTTTTCTATGTATTTCAAAGCACAAAATGAAATGTGCCAGAGAGATTGGCTTAAACTTGTGTCTGCCATTCCCTCAGCCCATGCAGCCTGGCTGCTGGGAGCTGTGCTTGCTTGCTGTTTTGTGAGTGTCTGCAGATGCACGGTCGCCCACTCTAAGAGAACATGCACACACTCTTTTTTTTCTCTCACACTGTCTGGCATACTTTCAGAATAACTCTTCGAAGACTTTCTGAACTGCTGGGTATGGTTGTCTGATTGTTATTTTTTTTTTTTTAACTGGGAACATGTTTAGTCCAGTGTTATTTAAACAAGCTTATCTCTTTGATCAAAGTCTACAATCTGAAATTTGAACAGGGTAGGGAGGGTGRCTGGGTGGGTGAGGAAATATATCAAGTACATAGTTATGTGTGTGCTGATGTCTCAGCTCTGTGCCTGCAAAGGTAAAAACATATATTGCTTCAGAATATTCTTGCAAATATAAAAAACTTTGCCTATTTTAGTGGAAGTTCTGAAAGCACAGTATTATTTCTACAATAAAACCATTTTTAGTAAACTTTTCTTGACACTTCTAGTGACCTGCATACTCAGTTTTTCAGTTTCTTGGGTTTTTTGAAGGTTGAGCCAAATAACTGTGGAGTTGTTTAAGTATAGCATAGGCTTTGCTAGTATTCAAAGCACATGAAGTGGAGCCCATATATTAATGCATTTAGGGTTGACATTAGCCTATTTCATTGACTGAACCACAGACCACAGCAATAAAGCTGGAGAGCTTGAAACAGTTTCTGGAGGTTTTCATTTAGCTCGTTCAGGAGAACTGGTTTGTGCGAAGTTAAAATTATATGGAATGAGATTGCAAGAAGAAGCATGCATGCCACACCTTTTCATTATGTTCTCTCTTTTCCTTTTTTTTTTTCTTTCTAAATATAACTTTGACAGACATTTCAGTGTTTTTTACAGCCGATCCCATTCGATTATTTTAGATTAATTGATTTTCTAGTCTGATTTCAAAGTTAAAGTTTGCTAAGCTTTTGTTCACAGGACTAGGAAAAAGAATTTCCTGTGTTCAATTTATGTATCATGCAATCAAATAACCATCTCCTAACTGTGGCAAAATCTGAATGATGTTTATTTAATCATTTTACAGCATGAAAAGAAGCAGTCATAATTTTCCAGGCTAGTCTAAAGCTTTTCCTTGCTTCTTAATGTTATTATCATACTCTAATAACTGCAACTTGCTGATAGAAATATGTTATAAATCTTCTCTCCTGCATAGGTATCATGCCCCCATTAATTTTGTAAGCTGGCTTTATTGGCTGAGGCTTGCCCCACACACAGAGACACACACAGACGGACGCGTGCACACACACACACATTCTGCTTTGCCCTATCTCAGTTACAGCATAGCCCTACCCAGGGTCAGTACAATGTACACATTACATATTTCTAGCAAACATGAAAATGAATCAAACAGGAGGAGAGATAAGCACAGATAGATTGGAGCCTGCCGAGGGAATCAAAGTCAGTAATGTGACTGACCACTGCACTAGTCTTCCTGGTTGGATTTAAGTGTTCTTTACCGTTAGTTGCTGCAAAGCACAGTACCCTGAAATGAAAAATTAAACTATTAGTAAGAATGAAGTAACATTTAGATGGACAATTCTTTGGTATAACTCCAAAACTAATTGTTTCTGAAGTGATGTTTAAACCAACGTCGGCACAAGGCAAGGGTTCCTGGCGTACAGCCAGCACCTTGTAATGCATATTAGCGCAGATGAGGAGTTCCTAAAAGTTAGCGAGAGGGAGAGGGAGGGAAGAAGAGAGAGAGAGAATGTGCGTTTTCAGTGCTCACTCTGCGTTTGTTTGTATCCTCCTCCTTGCCGAGATGAGAGGAATACCTGTGTAGTGCTGCTTTATTATGATTTCTGCTGAGCCTCAGAATAGGTTCTGGTATTTTTTTTAGGTGGACTGCCAGCTGCCGATCTCGCTGTTGACAGTAAAAGCAGATATGTTCCTTGCTCACTGCCACTAGTACTGACCATGACCCTTCACACCAAAACCTCTGGAGTTACCCTGCTGCACCAGATTCAAGGCACTGAACTGGAGACACTGAGCAGACCTCAGCTGAAGATTCCCCTGGAAAGATCGCTCAGCGACATGTACGTGGAGACCAACAAGACAGGAGTTTTTAACTATCCAGAAGGAGCCACCTATGATTTTGGTACTACGGCTCCGGTGTACAGCTCTACTACGCTCAGTTATGCCCCTACTTCTGAATCTTTTGGGTCCAGCAGTCTGGCCGGATTTCACTCGCTGAACAGTGTCCCACCAAGCCCGGTGGTGTTCTTGCAAACGGCACCCCAGCTGTCGCCCTTCATCCATCATCACAGCCAACAGGTACCCTATTACCTTGAAAAYGATCAGGGCAGCTTTGGGATGAGGGAAGCTGCTCCTCCAGCCTTCTACAGGTAAATGATACAGAATTTTTTCTTTCTTATTTAAGCAGATGATCTGGGAATATTAGAATGTAGGAATCTGTTATGCCCTAATATTTGCTTTTTGTGTAAAGGAGCATGCGATTTAATTGAATCATCGATGTTATCTAGACCGTAAGAAATAGCGTAGAATAAAACAAAACTGTAATTCACAGCCCACTGTGACTGTAAGCTGTAAATTTTGAAAATGGTACCTTCATGAAAAACAGATCAGATAGTAAGTATAAATATTTCCTGGGAAAGCACAAAATCATAATTGATTAAAGAATGGCAAATGGCCTCAGTGTTGTAATGTATTATAATACTGCCTGAAGTATACTAAAAAGACTTCCACTATCACACATTTTTCAGTGTGAGTGGTTGTTTGTTCAACTCTTAGCTGGTAGTAAGAGTATTTTTCTTCTCTGTATTCCATTGCATTGTGAGAAGTGGCTTATATAGGAAGTTGTTCAGAAGCACTATATCCTTCCTAATCAAAGTGTTAGAGTCGACTCAGTGACAGTATTGCAGTCAGTAACCACCTTCCTGAGTTATGCAAAGAGCTGTGTACATATTAACACGCATTTTTCTTTGGAGGGTGATATATATTAACTGTAAATCTGGCGTGCTGCTTTTCAAAAGATAGGATCGTTCAGGTTTTTTTTTCCGCATTTTTGTGTCTCAATAAGAGATGGGTTTTTGTTGATTTTTTTTTTGGTTTTTTTTTTTTTCTTTTTGGTCTGGGATAGAAAGATAAATGTGTCATTGAAACAGGGAAACAAATTTACTTGGTTTAAATTTATTGTCGGTTGTAAAAAAAATTACATCTTTTCTTGAAATTGATAGAATTATGGCTTCTAAAAAAATATCATCATACATACCTATATCCATGCTGTTAATGTTTCATGCAGTGTTTATAGCATAGTTTGCATCAGCTTATTATGCTGGGCTTCAGTGAATCAAAGTGAACGGTTAGATATAATTTTTTTTCTGAACTCTATTCTCTTGATTTGAGAGATACACGTGAATTTATTAGAAATGTAACAACTCAGAAAAAATAGAAGTAAGTAATTTTTTCCATGTTGAGGGCCAGACTGCTAGACTCATATGCACAATATGACATGTTACTGTGAACAACAACGTATGTTCTTAAGTCTAACTCAGCCTTTCTAAGAATCTGGTAGTAAAATCTGTAAACAAAATGGTTGCACTTTTTTGCAAATTATTAGTCAGTTTAGGTAAGCAGATAGAAYGAAGACTGGTGAAATTATAGGTAAAGGTTAAACTGTCTAATACAGTGATCTGTAAACTGAATTGATTCAAATTAATTAATTAATTAATCAATTAATTTTAGTGCAACCAAATACAATACCTCCTGGAAGAAAAAGTACATGCCAGGACATAGAGATCTTGAATGATTACCGGTGACTTGAGAGGTAAACTGCACTTTTTGCAAGAATAAAAGGCTTATTTTACAGGAATGTCCAGTGCAAAGCTGTGATGAAAAGTGTGTAAGTGACCTTATGTATGTAAACAGTGGAGCAGTGAGTTCATGAAGTTGAAATACACAGGCAGAAAATGTTCTATAGTCAGTTATTGCACTGCAGGAGGATTCAAACCTAAGAATCACCTGGACACAGAAGTTGCTATGGAAATAGTGTTATTTTAATTTTTAAGCTGTGAATTGAGGTGAGACCCTTCAAAATAAAATTAAGGTACTTCTTTAGTTTAATTACTGGGGCAAACATGTAAGACCAGTGAAGTATTCCCTATTTCCTGACATTTCTGATCAAGGTTGTGTGTCACCCTTGGAGACGTGTATTACCCATATGCGATTGCTGAGGCTTAATGCAGCAGTAATTAGGTGAATTTATGACCTTGGATCTGCCAGAAGGTTTATCTGCATACAGCATTATACAAATGATTTAATGGCCCCTTCCAGCCATAACTCTGTGAAACGCATCTTACGTGGTAATAAGAAATGTGTTTCAAAGTGCTTGCTATGATTATCTTTTGTTAACAGGCTGGTACTGCTGGAACTGAATTGATAAAAACTTTGCTTTTTTTGCTTTTCATTTTTGTGAGGTTGCATTTACAAAGTTATCATCCTCACAGCATTAAATATTAGGTCTTTTTTCTTGTGTTTTGGCATGAACTCAATCACCAGCAGTCTGTCAAAAATAAATTGAGTAGGTGTTCACTGCCTGGAAAATATTTCAATGTCTAGCCAYTGGGTTTAAGAACAAGTTCTTTTAAAAACTTCCAATTTGCTTTATTTATTTATTTGTCCAGTCTCACTGGTTTCAATTGGGTTATGGGAGAAAAGAGAGTGTAGGACAGTATAATCTGGCAATGAATAAATTGATTCTGGAGATTGAAAGATGTCTGACTCTGGAACAACCTACCAGCAGGAGTGATAAATGCAAAAAAATCTTAAACCAGAAGCCCTAAAAAAAGTTATAATGAATCATGATTAGTTTGTGATATGGCTGCCTGCTTCTATAACAAGTTATGTAACCTAAGACCCAGTAAGACTCCTCTGCTATTCTCATTTACCTTTCTGTGTAACTGAGTTTTGCTGTTTAGCTTTTGGAGCAGAAATATTTGCATTGTGTCAGCCTGTTCTACTCTAAATTTGACATGCAAGTGCTGCATACTGTGCTGCAAGTKTCTTGGACAATAAATAAACATTATAGGCTGGAGCTGAAATGATATTCCATTTGATACTTGGACAAAATGTTATAAATCTTCAGTCACAAAACTAAAAACTACTGTATGTGGTAAGGAGAACTTTTAATGTATTTTGGTTTTGTTAATAAGTCTTCAAAATCATACTGCCTATGGACAGATATGTATTAATATATATTTAACTGCTTGTGTACTAATGCTGAAGTTATAGTTTGTCTTTCAAATAGTTCAAAAGGAGTCAAAGACTCCTTTTCCAAAATACATAGTCTCTTGTTGTGAGATAATGGAAGGCTTCTATAGTTAGATGAAAAACATAAAGATACATGAAAAGAATAATTTTTTAAGAATTCAATAAATGTATTAATCTCCCTTCTGGAATGTCTAAATTATGAATCATCAGAATTTGAGAAACAGAAAAAAGGGGGCTTAACTAAAATTGTGCTATCTATGCCTAGACCCTATTTATGTATGACCTTGTGGCTGTTTTTATAGGTAGGCAAATTAAAATATCTTTTCCTTATCTGACAATGTCCAATCTCACTATTTTTTTTTAATTGATAATTTTTAGTAATAGAGTTTTTTGTTATTAAATGCTGATTAGTGGTTGATGATTTTTACAGGAAATCTTTTATGTASTTTTGTACTATTTCTGTACTTTTGACTATTATAGTAAATGAACAGAAATATTTCTTTTGTTCTTAAATATTGAATTTGAGTTCTGGTAATTTCTGGTTATTTCCTCTTGCTTTTCGGCAAGCTTTGATCTGCTCAGAGAAAAATCAAGACTTTCAGTAGCTAATTTACCTCAGTRAGTCCCTACAAGCAACAGCAGAACATCCTTTTTGCTCTGCCAGTGTGTGACATTCCTGTGTCATCCCACTGAGTTTGCACTCCTCAGGTCTGAAATAATATCATGCATTTATTTAAGGCTCTTTGTAACCTGTCTTTGGTGCTAGTTCCAAATTAGGCAAAAAAAAAAAAAAAAATAGACTGTGACCTTCCAGCTCCCTGACAAGAAAGTTGTGTGTCAGCCTCTAGTGAGTGACAGAGGCTGGGCAAATCAGTGTACAAAGAACAACAGATTAATTGCTCCCTCACTTTTAGTGGCTAGTTTGTATCTTCTAATATTTCAGGCTCTATGTTTAAGTTAATATAATAAAGCATTTGTTTAGCATTAGCCACAAATATCATACTGCAGTTGACTCTGCTGTTCTAATTAATATGATCACAGCTTTAATTTTAATGCTTGCTAAAATTGAGAAAGATTACAGATGTAGATTGATGTCTCTTCAGTTGTAATTAAGAAATCCATCAGTCAAAAAAATAGTTACATAACCAAGTATATAAACTTTGTTAACTGTGTTGATTCATTAGGATTTTTTCTAGCTGTTCATGTTGAGTTCTAAATGAAGAAGATTTTTTTTCCAAATTTTAAAATAAAGGTGTTAAAATGAATTCAAAGTTCAAAGATTATTTTTCTTAATTTTTTTAAAATGAAGCGTGAAGTATTTCATAACATGGAATATGATGTAATGTAGTGTTTTGCTTTGCTTTTTTTGTTTATTTTTCTCTAAAATATCAGTCTGCTCAGAGGTCCTCTCTTGAACAGTTCAAGTGTTCAGGCAATTTCTTGAACACTTGGAGTGTTCCTGTTTTCCGGGCTTGTGCTGATATCTCTGACAGTTTTACAGCAAGAGATGACTGTAATGAAAGAGACAGGAAAACATGGAATCATCTCATAGATAGTTTCTTATCTTATGCAAATGTTGTTGAGATAAGCCTATTAAGTGCTCTGAGATGCTCACACATTAAAATTATGAGGGACTTGGACAAACCAACTTTGGTGTTTCTGCAGCCCTCCTTGGAGCATGTACTGAAGTGTGAATCCTGCTGCAAGTGTGCTTGCACCATGAAGTCACCAATCCATGTTGTTACACGTAATCTGTGCCTCCTTGTGCCCCTGAATAAGGGCAGGCAGTGTGTGAAAGGGAGAGCTGTTGTGCTTCCTCATTACCCTTCTTTCTGCCAAGGGAGGATTTCACCCTCCTTGTTGAAGAAAACTTAACTTTTGCAACAGTTACCTTTTTTTTTTTTTTACAAACCGCAAGTGTAGGAAGGCTCCATATACTGAGTCCTTCCCAAGTACACTTGAAATTTGTGTCTAAACCCGTGTTGTTCAGACAGACCACGTGAATGGGGTTCATCTGATTGAGTGTAGGCACCTAGGTCTGCATTCATTTATCCATTCCTTAGGCATCTGGTGCCATTTGAGAGGTCAGAATGTCAGATGTGTCCAGCAGATGTGA